TAAGTCCGGGGCAGGGTAGGGGTTAGGTGGGGCGACTGGTGGCGAGTAACTTTTAAGGCCTGGCTAGTAGCTCAGGACTTGAAATTTTGAGCCCTGCCATAGGGTATTGTGTGTTATAAACGTCATATACAGAACACTAGTCAAGACTGTTATGCAACTGGAACTCACCCCTCTGCTATAAAGAGCCAAACTATAAGAAAGGGGCATGTAAACCCTACCAGTGACGTTCTCTTCTAGCCTTTGGTCTGTTAAATGTATTATTTAAAGCAGGGGTCTCAAAGTCAATTCACTCGGGGGCCACTGGACACATTTTTTAGTCCCAATGGGGGCCGTGACTATATACGGTACCAGTGTTAATGTCTGCACATGTTCCAAGCTGCAACTGTCACCCATTCGAGTTAATGATCAGGTGACAGCCGCTGCATGTAAACGCCTGCACAACGCATGTAATCACATGTAATCATATGTGAAAGGATTACATGCAGTTAGGAATCAATCGTGTATCCAGGGGGAGTGATTGTTTTTGTAACTGCATGTAATCATATCACATGCGGTATGCAGGCGTGTACATGCAGCGGCTGTCACCCGATCATTAACTTGAATGGGTGACAGTTGTTGCTTGTAAACGGCAGATTAGGGATTCCTGCTGCAGGAAAACGCAAGTTTGTGACACAGGAATCCCTAATCGCACCTGAAATATAGGTGTCAATGGGGCCTGATATACACACAGAAAAATACCCCCCCCCCCCTCCCTCCCTCATTCTGACCTCTGTTCAGACCCAACCTTTCTCGTTTTATCGTCCTGGCAGAAGATGCAATTGCCCCATTGTTTGTGTTCTCTTCCCCCTGCGGCTGACTTTGCAAGACCGCTCTCTCCTTTCGCACATGAGTGCATACACGAAGGCCCTATCCGCCATTCTTTGTCTGTTTGCTATGCGCCCCTCCTTCAAGATGATGCCGCATCTCCTCCACCTTATTCGGCTAAATGGGAACATGACCCACTTTCTCTCCCGACTCCATAAGTATCAGGAACCTGGCTATAAACGTATCACCAGGTGGTATAGGACTCTGACGGCCTTGCGCCTCATGTCTTCTGACCTTTGCGGGAGGTGTGCCAGCCCTCCTGCAGATTTGATGCACATTTTCTGGTCCCAAAATTCCAGCCGGTTGGGATCAAGTTCACTCGATCACTCTGAGGTTTACTGATCTCCCCATCCCTTGAGGTCCTGCCTTTTTCCTTCTACATAACAATTCCATCACCTTGAAGACCTATAAACATTTGGTGATCCTTCATATGGTTAATGTTGCCCGTGCGTGCATACCGGCCATGTGGAGGCGTCCTGTTCCCCTGACGATTCGCCACTGTTTTGAGAGAATCCAAAACCTCAATCTCATGGAGGACCTTACTAGCTCTCTAAACCACTGAAGTGGCCGGCCACTGAAGTGGTTATACCAAGAACACAGCTGCTGCAGCCGTGTTCTTGGTATCAGTGTAAACAGCAGGCGATTGCTGTTCAGGTCCAAGCGATCCGGTGACTAAATAGCTGCCGGATCGATTCTACTGATCGGCAGAGTGTGCTTGCTCCCCCCCGCCGCCAGCTACACTGGGCTCTGCTGTCCCCCCGTGTGGGCCCGCCCGGGTCTCCCCGCATCAATCGGAGAGAGATCAGCAGGCTTCTAGCAACTGATCTCACCTCCAATCACTGGACCCAGAGGTGATGTAGTGTCACTGTTTACATCTGCGGGCGATCGCATTGCAACCAGAGGGCGTGGGTAAGGTGCCATTCACTTCAATAGCCCGCCACGCCCCCTCCTGCCTCACATCACTGGCGTGAACGTACCCCGATCCTGCCGCATCAGTGTCCCTATCCCCACATTATTTTCTTTGTCCCTTATCTCTCCCCCAATTCTCCTGCCACTAGATGACCTCAGTCTGATGACCGGCATCATCCAATCCACTGAACCCATTCTGGAAGGACATTGCAGCCATGGCAGTGATAAAGAGGGGCACAAAGCATGTGCCCCGTTCAGGGCAAAGCTACAGGTTGCTTTCCATCCCCCGCTCCTCTGCTGTTCCTGTACAGCTCCCACATATGGATGGGACTTGCTCCGTGTGACAGCACTGGGCCAGTCAAAGCCACAACCCAACCTGACCGTACCAAAACTTGGAGGCCCTACCTTTCTTGTCCGATCAGGTGGGCCCTTGCCCTATATAGCTATTGGCAGATCTAAGAGGTTCCTTCATAGTGTCCCCGATGTCTGTTCTCTGCCATCACCTGATAATCCTGTACTGACCCCCAAGCGGGGCCACAGTAACCCGACTGACACCAATCACTCTGGATCATAGGAAAGCCTTCCCAATCATTGATTGCATCTGGCGCTCTCTGCAATCACACTGCCAATGGGTGCTCTGTGCAAACACGTGTGTGGCGTTTGGTGCGCCGTGGTGCCAATGTTTCCTAAAGTCACACTACGTGGTCACTAATCAAAGTGCATTTTGGTTCTATGTGATTTAAAAAAAAAAAAGGGTCATGCACCCTGTTAGAAAATATTTCTTTAATGACACTTACGATTTAAGCGTCATAATGTGATTATAATCTTCAGCAAAGAATGTCCAGTTGTTGACTTAGAAACTTGTGACTTTAATTGTATAACATAAAGCCAACAGCATACAATGATATACAAACAGATCGTTCACAGTAGCCGAGCTTAAAGCTATATCACCTCGTCAGTCTTAGCAGGTGAGACAACCAAGTCTTCTCTCTTCAAATGGGGCGTGTCCCCTCGTGTGTAGTGTGATGTAATGCTTCCCCTTATATTCCAAAACCATCGTTACTGATTGGCTAATCCTATAGCGCCATATACTTTGTACTATTCTAAGCTCATTTAGACGTCCTCCCGCGGTGCTCGAGCGGTTGCCGGCTGAATGTGTCAGATGCCACAGACGGGAAAGGTCGGGACGCCTCCCCCCGTCTGCAACATTTGGCCACACGAGCACCGCAGGACGCTGGTGCAGGAGAGGAGACCTGGGAAGCTGCTGCAGTGGAGGTAAGAAAAGGCAGGAGGGGGAGAGACAGCAGAGAGAGGAGACAAAGGGCCGGGTCACACCACACAGTCTGCGTTCCGGAGTGTACGGCCTCTCGAACGCGCTGGAACACAAGCCGGCTCCCTGCCAGCTCAATGAGATCGATTTACCAACGAAAAAATACCTGCAATGAGGGGGCGGGGGTTGCATTGAACTCAATGGCACCATAGCCACGCCCCCTGAAACGTGGGTACATTGGTGCCGTCGTTGCGGTTCAGTGTGAGCTGCAAAAATATTGCAGATCGCACTGGAACGCCAGCACCAATGTGCCCACGTTCCTGGTGAGGACGATCACAATGGAGGCAGGGGGCGTGGCTATGGTGTACCACACCCCCTCTGAACGCAGGTGTTTTTTCATTGGTAGATCTCATTAGTCATTTGAAATGTAGATCTCCGGAGGAAAAATTGTGGGCGCCCCGGATTTAGATGCAGTAGGCAAAATGAATGGGAGGCCCAACCGCAACAAACTAAAAAGGTGCCGCACCACATGTGCAAGGTCACATGGAACAGGCGTAAACAGGGAACAGCGTCTGCTCGGGGTGCACTTTTCACCAGGGTGGAGGACTTTTACATACAATACCATATAACAAAATAGGACTTCTGGTCAGTTCATTGGACATTATTCAGACAGATGCACACGGTGTGCATGGCCGTACCCTGGAAGGACAGGACGCAGCGCCATTCTTCCTAATGGGAGGACACCAACACATCTGCAAATTCCCATTAGCCCCAAGTGATCAGAACACAGCAGTCAGTTGTCTTAGGATGAAGCTCACCCCCATTAAGGTGCATGGACCCTGCCGGCAAGTGCTGCATGCATTCCCATGGAAACTCTGCATATGACTAACTCCCAGACATAACCCTGCACCCAGGGGTGGGCAACTTGAACCCTCCAGCTGCTGTGGAACTACATGTCCCATGAGGCCTTGCAATACTGAGTTACAGGCATGACTCGAGGCAAAGCTGGACATCTGGCATTGCCCACCCACCTTAGTCTCATGTATGTCCTTTTACCAGCTTTATCTGCCCAGATGTGTGACCTGTCAATTGGCTCTCATTTTTACAACAGGAGTGGGAAATGCCCTACTTCAGAGGTAGCCAAGCTTTGGCCCTCCTGCCTGGTGACACTACATATCCCATCATGCCTTCGGGAGTCGTGTCTGGCTGCCAGCCTCGCATGTTTGTATGGACCTTTTAATGCAACAGCAAGGGGGGGGGCTGAAGTTTGACTACCCCTGCCCTAATTAAAATGAGGGCTTGCTTTGAGCAAGGGGTCTTCTCCTGAAAGGTCACCCCTACACCACCATTGGACCTACACCATGTAATCTGCATTATTCAGTGTGGTCACCGGCTCCCATGTTCTGGTGATGTGTATCCCAGGATAAAGTGGCCTCCAGCCATACAGGGTGCGGGTGTCACACACAACCAACAAATAATGAAACTTCCAATTTTAAACGAAAAAAAAGGTTTTTATTTAAATAAGAAAGTTAAATAACGTAAAACAAGCTTGTTACTTGCCATTATAGGACGTTATTGCCGACAAGATGTCAGCGGTGTCAGACTACATCTGGTTAATGTCCTGCAGAAGTCCCCTTGTCAGAAGTTTAATTCTGAAGCCTGCACCCTCCACTTGTACAGTACATGCCCGACTAGCACCAAACTCTGGATGTCACATTGTATCCCAATGGAGGACACTGCCAGAACTCACCAGAAGAAAACCACTCAGGCATGTGAGCTCTGTCATCTCACTTCCCCAGTCTGGTGAGTGTAGAAGTCATATTTTGGGAAATTAAACACTTGAACCCAACTTTGTGCCGAGACTGGCAGAGATGGACAAAGTGGGTAAGACGTCATCGCTTCGACTATCACATGAAGCTACAAAACATGACCGAGGCTACCGGAGGTTAGGAAAGTCCTTTGAAGTTTTATCACAAGCCAGTTAAACTTGTGACAAGGGTCAGCTCTTAATATTGCTACTCATTACAGGAAGGGATCTTTATTAATGCAGCGCTGAGGTCACGTCTTGCACATTAAAATCCGTGGACTTTCAGTTGATCTTCTTTGGCCAGTCCAACCTAAAAAGACATCAAATGAAGACTTTCAATACAACACAACTAACCGCTGACCAATACAACCCGACATCCAGAGTAAACGGCATACATAAAGCTGATCTTACTAGTTCATTCTTTATTTGTAATAAATCACAGATTAGACATTTTAAACTACGTTCTGTACATATGATCCAGTCAGTGTCTCAAAGTATTTGTCACTAAACCGGATAGCTGGCATCTAGCAATGTAAAAATGAGCAATGGCAGCCTTTGCATTTCCAGCCCAGGCTTCTTTTAAAGTGAAAACTGGGAGGAGAGGCTTGTGCGTGTTATGGTGTACAATGACGAGCATTACTCTCAGATCACAGGGTCAAGAAAACACTACTGTACTCCAGTCACATCAATGCAGTGGTGTAATGTGAACAAAGGTGCAGACCTCATTTTACCCACTGTGCTGGAATGAAGTGTCACTAACAAAGTGAAGTGCCTTGGGTTGTGACAATGTGGCCACCACTTCTACACAAGACACCAACCTGCCTGTTATAGCCTGCAGGCTGGTGTGAATGAGTAGAAGATTGGCATTGATATGGGCATCTTGTACCAAGTCAGGAAGTAGCAACGAGAAGACCGTGACAACTTTCAGCAGCTTCCCCTCACCAAAAGCTACTTATTGGTACATGTCAAAGGACTTCATACTTGTGTAGCTTTTCCTATGTACTACCACAAATTGATCAATTAATGAGCCTTACCTCCACAAGGAACTGACAAGCATTCTTGCGCTGGTCACCTTGAAGCTGGATCACCTCTCCGTATTCAGGGTGTTCAACAACGGTACCATTGCAAGCAAATTTCTATATATAAAACAAAAAAAACCCATAGAATTAGGTTTCAGCCATTTACAACTATGTGCAACAGGAGTAGGAAACTTTGGCAACACCAGCAGTTCTAAAACTACAAATACGATGAGACATTGCAAGTGTCAGACATGACTCTGAGGCCAAAGCATGGCAGGATTTGTAGTGTCACCACAGCTGAAGAGCAAAGCTGCCTACCCTTGTGCTCCAAAGACAAAAAGGTACTTTAGGAAGACTTACCTTCTTGAAAGCTTTAACTAGTTTCTTCTTGTCGTAGTCATCCGCAATGCCCTGTACAGTTGTGAGAGTCTTCCTGCCGTTCCTTTGCTGAATCCTTATATGGATGGAATCCTCTGTCCCAGCTGGGAGCCAGTCATCACCTTTACTTGCATCAGCAAAGGGGTCTGCAATTAAAAAAATAAAATACAATGTTAACATTTTTGGCCATTGAGGTCACAATTTGCACAAGCCAAAGCAGCAGCTGTGTACTAGATACATCATACAGAACGCCATGGATGGTGGCTGTGATATCACTGGAAGTGCCCAGCACGCACCCAGATCAGACTGAAAACAGGGAATCTCATGTGAGCGTATGCACTCATCACCTTTGCTTTACATACGTAAAGGAAATGGCGGCGACAGGGTATAGAGACACAGGGATGTCGAATCACAGCACTCAAATCCAGTGCAGTGTCTAGGAATATCTGCCGTAGATATCCTAGGAGGCTGCTGGAGTAAGGCTGACATTGTCATTTAGGTGACTCGATAAACTTAGGCAAGCTTCAGCTTTACATAAGGGCTGCCCCCCATAAATGAAAGCAAGCCCCTTAAACCCGTACTCGCTGACTTCGGATGACCCCGATTAGTGTATTACGGTACGGCTTCGGATGACCCCGATTAGTGTATTACGGTACGACTACTGCTTTCCGGAAGTCTGCCATCAACGAGCAGGTTCCAGGCTGAGCTAGACCCCCGCCCACTAGAGGGAGGGGCCCGGAAACTACGAGCGCAACAATGACACGCCCCCGTGACGTCACCGCGTCGGGAGAAGAGGAAGCTGCGCCACACAGCCGAGGAAGAAGGGAGGCGGCCGCCGCCATCTTGACCCGCCTCTACCGCTTAGGAAAACACAGAAAGGGCTTCTTAACTACGCTATATGCGCTTTGTGTGGTATAGCGCAGCAGCCAGCCCTAGACCGTAACTGATACAGCCATAACACCAACAGCCATAACACCAACATACATCGCCAGCCTTTCCTCACACGCCCAACATGGGGGCCACACAAATGAGGTAACCGCCACATATACCGCCACCTCTTACCCAACATGGCGCCCACACAAATAAGAGAACAGCTACATTACCACAATCCTTCCCCCCACACAAATAACAGCTACATTTAACGGCGGCCCTTCCTCACACCCAACATGGAGGCCACACAAGAGAAGCAGAGTCTCTCCGCCAGCATTGAGTCCGCCAAATATCGGCGTTCTTGTCAAAAATTATTTTCAATAAACAACGAGCCCGGTCACACACTTACCGAAAGATGTGAGGTTCTGGATAGCGGACATACGATAAGATGGAGATTCCTCGGTGGAGACGGCTGTAGAGCTCTGGACTGCTTGTGACACGGTGGACAGCTTGTGTAACACGTACGCAAGGAAATGGCCGCGTCTTCTTTTATACCCTCCTCTGGTTTCAATGACGCCAGCATGACGGGGTGACGTAATAAGTCCCGCCCTCCTCGGGGCGGGGTGAAGATGCCTTTCTAACAGGAGTCAAGTGTGCTGTGGCTGCCATCTTTGGTGTGGGCGCCGGCGAAGCCTTGTGAGAAATAGAGATGTAAATAGTCACTCTGGTACAGAATGTTCTGTGAAGTAAATTTCCAACAGTAAACACGTAGAAATAGTACCCCATAGCCCGGGTCGTGTCTAAAGAGACCCTGTCACTTTGCCCATTGAGTCTCTTGATAAATTCAGCTCCCCGGCTGGCTTAAAGCGTATGCCTAGAAGGTGTATAGAAGGCTCTGGGCCCGTCAATAGAACCCTACTATCACCCTAAAGAGAACCTGTCACCACTGATATACTATCACATAGGGGGATTGTAATTGTGACAGTAATTAGGTAAAGTTAAAATGAAAAAAGTGAAAATACAGAAAAAAAAGTAAAGTCCCCGGCGAATGTGCGCATAGTAATGTGCAGCATGTAATGACTCGCTGACCGGCTTTCTGATTGTTCGGGAAGCTGGCCAATCAGGAAGCCGGGCGCCATGTAATGACGCGGCCCCCGGCTTTCTGATTGGCCAGGAAGCCAGCTTCATGCTCCCTCGTCACCTCGTGACAAGGGAGCATGCAGCCAGCTTCCCAGCCAATCAGGAATCCTGATTGGCCAGAAAGCCGGCTCCATGCTTTCTCATCACATAGTGACGAAAAGCATTAAGATGGCTTCCCTGGTAATCAGGAAGCCGGGTGGCGAGCTTTTACACGCAGCCTGGCTTCCTTAATGGGACTTCCGGTATCGGTATTCGGTATCGGCGAGCACCGGGAAAAAAATATCGCCACTCGTACTCAATACCGAAAAACCGGTATCGGTGCATCCACAGTTAAAAGTGTCCCCTAGACATAAACGAGCACTTAACCCTTATAGAGCCGGGGTACCCTCACTGCAAGGGTTAGTTTTTTTAATGCCTGGAGATGGGCAAAGTCCCTCCTGCGTGACAACCATCGTTTCTTCTACAGATACCATGTGAGCGTAGACGCAGATGAACAGGACGTGTGTTATTCGCAGTATTACCGGCTGAAAACAAAAATACCTAAAAAATGGAAACAAATGAAAGTACCTCATGTAAGGATCGGTGAGCTGCATTAGATACATTCTTTGTTTTTTGGGTTTAGATAGACTTTAAAAACATCGTACAGGACCCCAGATCATAATCTGCTCTCTAGATCTCTGACCGTTTAATCCTGACAGATACAAACATATGATAAGAGTAAGTTATTTCTCCTGATATAGCTCATAGCAGTGTTTGGATCCCTTGTTTATGTTTGTCACATAAGCCCTTATCTAAAATGGCTGCCATGTCCTTGTGAAAGTGCGGGGAGTAGCCAGTGCAAGGAGGAGTCCTGATGGTAATCACGAGGAAATGATGTCATATAGCTGTCCCCGGCCAAGTGACTTCCGAGAAACTGTTATTGTTTACAGTACTGTTACTTAGGACATTTCCTTCTCATTTTACATCACACAAACAGGGTTCATACTGGATCAGATAAGCAGCACCGAACCTCTCACTTTCCTTCATTGCATAATAGATTACAGAACATTAAAGTGACATTAAACCTTTACTTTTTTTATTCATTCACATGGGAGGCCCACGTTGAAAGCTTATCCTTTGTTCTTTTAAAAAAATGTTTTCAATTCCTCGTTCTCTAGTGGGTCCCTGCATTGCTCTCCCCAGCCCACCCCCTGCATGGGTGCCTCCATCAGTTAAAGGAGAACTATGGGGTCAGTGCTTTTCCCCATAGTTCTCCTAAGGGTAATGGGAGGACACAAACTAGTGTCCTCCCGTCACCCACAGCTCAGTATATTGCGAGCTACAGCTCGGGGTATACTGAGACGCCGCAGCCGGGACAGATCCCGACAATACTGTCTGGATCCACCCAGCTGCGTGATTGACAGCTGGCTCTGCCTATCCAGAGGCAGAGCCAGCTTTACCCGCCCCCGTCCGTTCCGCCAGTCAGCGCTGGAGGATCGGAGCGGGGAGCGGGGGGGAAATCCCTGCATGGAGCCGTGAGTGACAGTCACTGCTCTCTGCAGGGACAGGATCGAGAAGTGAGCGAGCAACGGTATGTGTTCGCTCACTTCCCGATCTATTGAGCCGACGTGTGGCAGTTTCATTGTCACACGTCAGCTCGAACTATGAGGCTGAGTGATTTTCAGTCACCTCATAGTTCTCCTTTCAGCATCTGCTATGGAGGCACCCGTGTGTGCGCGTTCCCGGCCGTGCCTGCAGTAGCTGTGCGCGTCCATAGACAGACAAAGCCATGCGACAGCCCATGCCCCTCCTCTCTGCCCAACAGTTTGATTGATAGCAGTTCGGGAATGGAGGATCGCTTTGTGGACCGGCCCCGGTTTTTTATCTTAATGCAGAGAATGTATTAAGGTAAAAAAAAACACCCTGCCTTTAATACTACTGTACTTTAAAAATCACACGCTGTAATGCTTTAACCACTTGCTGTCCGGATCAATTTCTTAATATTTGCAAACACATGATAACATCAACATTTTTGCCTAGAAAACCGTCTAAAACCCCCCAAACAATGATATATTTTCTGAAAGCAGAGGCCCTGTAGAAGGAAAAAATGCTAGTTGCAATTTTTTATGTCGCACGGTATTTTATCAAACCAATATTTATAGGATTAAATACACTAAAATGTAATTCAGTGCACAGAAACAGAGTATAATACCCAATTTTTTGGTAAAATATAAGACGGGGTCACGTCGGGTAAATAGACACCAAACATTGTGAGCCTTAAAATGTGTGCGCGCGTAAAATCGCGAAAAAATACCATACCCCAAATTTCCCATAGGCGACGCTTTAAAAGCTTTCAGCGCTCATCAGTTTGGTGTTAACAGTGATTGATGGTTCCTAAAATTATCACTCGCACTCAGACATTCACGGTTATATATAACATGTGTTTTTTGCAAGTAAGCGCACCCAAAGTGTGTTTGCGTTTACATGTGTGTGTGTGCGTTAGGGTGGGGACTTTAAAGATTTTTTTATATGTTGCTTTAATTTATTTTTGCACTTAACGTTATCACTACCACATAGGGGGCTAACAAGCTTCCTATGTGATAGCAAATATACAGTGATAGGCCCTCTTTATGGAGACATCTGGGGTCTTTTAGACCCCTAATGTCACCTGGGGTCCCCAAAGAAGCTAATGAAGCAGCGATCTGCTTCACCAGCTTCTTGTCCTGGCTACAGGAGCCAGAAAAATCACACAGTGACACCGGAAGTGATATAATACACGTCACTTCCAGGTCTAGTGATCGGAGGGAAAATCAGCAGCTGGGAGTGTGCTGATCTCCCTCCGATTGAAGAGGCGAGACCTGCCCTGCCGGTCGTGGGACAGTATAGTCTGGGGTAGCTGGCTGCGGCGAAGAGGGAAGCACACTCCCAGGCACCGTACAAGCGAACGGGCAGCTGTATTGCCGTCGGATCGTTTGTATGTGAACAGCCATCGCCGTCTATTTAAAATGGTACCAAGATTACTGCTGCTGCAGCTTCAGGATGCTGCCGTTTATCCACGTTAGGCAGCCCTAAAGCAGTTAATATGATTAAAGAAGAACTTCAATCCCCCTTTGGATTTTTGCAACCCCTCTTACCTTTGTTCTCAATTTACATACTCACCTGCCCCGCGAAACCAGATTTGTCCCACTGTTATCCACATTTCAGATTACACAAGCTGGGTCCCGCGCCGCCATCTTTGTCCTTCTCAGTCATTGGGAGCCGCCTATCCCTTCCGGGTTCAGGTGGCCAATGATCTGCACAGCTCTGTCAGCCTGCCACTCACTCAGTGTTCCTTCTGGGATATGTGACTGGGATATCCCAGGAGGCTTTGGGAGCAGGACACATCACTCTAGGTGCAAGACTGGAATAAAAAAAGAAGTAAACAGGTAAAATAATTAAAAAAAAATCCTTTTTCAAAAGAATTGGTGCTGACACTGTCCTTCCTTCTGGAGGGTGGCTACTTTTGATCCCCATGGTCCCTGTGTGTGTTGTAAAGTAGTCACCACTCCAAGCTCACTCCCGTGATAGACTACAAGCTCATGCTTAGTTTACTAATTTGTAGACATGAGCGTTCGCTCACCTCTCGATCCTCTCACGGCTCTCTGCCGGGGACAGGGGAGGGGCTGGATTCCCCCCTCCCCGCTCCGATCTGCCAGCGCTGACTGGCGGAACAGAAGGGGGAGGGGGCGGGTACAGCTGGCTCTGCCTCTAGATAGGCAGAGCCAGCTGTCACTCACGCAGCTGGGCGGATCCCGTCGTCTAAGTCGGGATCTGCTCCGGCTGCGGCGTCTCAGTAGCTCGTGGTATACTGAGCTTAGGGTAACGGGAGGACGCTAGTTTGTGTCCTCCCGTTACCCTAAGGAGAACTATGGGGAAAAACACTGACCCCATAGTTCTCCTTTAATGTCACATTTGCTGCTGTATAATTATGCCTTTAAGGGCTTGTTTACACCATAAACAGTGCATTTCAGAGCGGTCAGCTGCTGGAACGGACTGTATCGCATCCCGGCGGGTTTCCTGCACTCAGGGGCACTATTTTTTCAGATCGCACTGGACTGGAATGCAGGCATTGTATTGCCACGCGTTCTGGTGCAGGCTATCACGCTGCGGGCGGGGGCGTGGCTGCGGTGTAATTGGTTTCAATGCACCGTCACGCCCTCTCCCCCCTCTGAACACAGGAAGAGATACAGTGCGTTCCAGCCGGTGGTGTATTCTGGTTTGTGGCTGCCCTAGGCAAGATGAAACTAGGGCACCCCCCACACTAAATCTGCGGGATCTCAGGGGGGCTGTGCTGGATCTGTGGTGGGCTCTGCCATAGAGCCCACCACAGATCCTGAAAAGCCCCCGAGATCCCGCAGAGCTAACCACAGATAATA